ACAGAAGAATGTTCACCATCCAGTATTACCATGTCAAACCTAAAAGAATACATATGAATGAATAAACATCAGTTTTTTAATAACTATTCTTGTAATATCATTAAGGGTATATTACCTAGTAATATATTGTCCTATGTTTACGGTCACTTCTAACATTGGAAATCCGGTCAGCAAATCTTTCTCGACTGAATAACTGATGTCGTCTATATAGTTTTTCCAAATTTCGATTTTTGTTGGATCATGACCATCTTTTTTTAAGCCAATTAATATTTTATTTTTTTCGAGAGTTACGTAACAATCAGGTTCTGAAAAAAATGCTAATCCAGGTCCAAATGTAATTGAAGTTATTGCGAGTTCCATGGGAAATATCGATGGATTTTGAGATGGTGTTAGGTTGGACTTAGAAATAAGATTATCAGGAACTGGCTCAGGTTCTATAAATATAAAATATAAAAGTATAAAAATTTTATTATATCTTTATATTTTTGATTTCACAAAATATTATATTTATATAAACAATATTTGCCTGACGTTTGTGCTCGGTTTATGCCTAAATTGTAACGAATCAAGATAAATTTCGGATATAATTTAAAGGGAATGGTAAATGATATTATAGAACGCACCTTTCTTTGATGAAGTTGAAGCTCTTCGACCACGCTTAGATGTTCCGGCGATAGAACCACCACGTGATACACGTGATTTCTCAGCACGACCTTGACCATCATCATCATCTGTAAGTGGCCGGCCAGGAATTTTTGCAGCCGAAGGATTAGGAGCATCTTCGCCAATAGATATTGATGGGTTTCTTGAATTGGAAGGTTGAGCGACTGGCGTAGAATCATTCTGCTCAGTGGGCTCATTATCATCATTTGGGCTTTCTTCAACCATAATTTTTCCTTGTTTCCATTTTACACCACATGCATTACACAGAGTTCCTGAACAAAGTTTTGTTCAAATTTAACATATCAAAGCATTAAAGGCAATAAGATCATTAGTAACTTTACCTGGTCCTTTGGGTCCTCTTCTCCACATTGGAGTGTATCTAACACCGCAGTACATACAATTCTTTTTTTCAGTGATATGCTCTACGTTACCAGCTGAATCGGTAACGAGTCTAGATTTTTTTGTCGTATATTTCCTCCGATTATCTAAATAAAATTGAAGTATGAATAATCAATTATATATTTAATGAATTCTTAAAGGATGCTTGTGAAAAGAAATAAATAAATTCATACTCTCATTTTTAGAAGAGTTCTTTGTTTTCCTAACTTTTTTTGTAGATGTCTAAAATGACATATATATATTTATTTATTCCATAATTTTTTTCAATTATATAAATTTGACATTTTATTTTTTCTTAGCGTTATAATTACACAATTGTCACTTACAGGTACTGTCTTTTTTGTCGTTTTACGTTTTCCTCTTTTCCCTTTACCAAATTGTAAATCGAATTCCGTATCTGAATCATCGTTTTTAATATCAATATCAATTTCCTCTTCGTCCATTTCATTGGTAGAAACCGCTGTCACCCAAGTTCTTTGATATTTCTAAATAAAAGGTCGAATATTAAAATTTAAATATTATAAAAATTTATACATTCTTATGACTCACCTTTACTTTTTCCTTATAAAAGTCTCTAGGAACGCGCATTTGTAAATAACGTTCTTTACATTTACGCTTAAGCTTAAAATGATAACCAATCGCGTCCTTTAGATTATTCTGTACAAGACGTAATGTAATTCAAAAAAAAATAATGTATTCGAACCTTTTCATCCATTAAACGTTCAACCGTATCTTCGTCGTTTACGGTTCTACATAACGCATTCCATATCTCTTCGGTTACTGATTTTATACTAATCTCCCATTCTTCAGTAGATTTCTTCGGGTCATCCTCATCGGGAGGTGAAACATAACTTGCAATTACCTATTATTATATTTTAAAAATATAATCGACAAAAAAAAAAAAGATTCTTTTACGATAAAACTGTTTTCTTCTTTACCTCATAAACTTTAGGACAATGTAATAATCCCATATCATCTTCTGGATTACGTTCAATAATAGCATCTTTGGGAAATAAAAATCTAGTTTTCCGATCATCCTTAAACGTTAAAATTACTTCACATCTTACTGCATGCTCATATGCGGTAGACGCAGGAATTTCTACAGGTTGATTCCACATTTTAAATTTGTTAAGCGACGCATAATGAGCAGATTCTGTGGCCACCAACATTCTTTGTTGTGGTAACGAATTAACCGGTTGTTTTTGCTGTGGAGATGGTTCGATTACTACATGATTCTCTGTAGAGAGACCGAGTTGCTTCAATTTTTGTGATATTGACAACGTTTGGATTTGTTCGGGAGATGGGGTTGATTGAACATCCTGATCCTGCTCAGTTGGTGAATCTGATTGTATCGTTTGACAATCCGATTGTGCTATCTGGATTTCTTCATTTGGAGGAGATGATGCTTGAACTGAGACCTCGGAAGGTAATGAAGTTGTTGGGATCGAAAGATCTTTTGGTGAGAGATCCTTCACCGAGAGATCTTTCTCCGGAGTTTGATCTTGTGAAAATAATTGACCTGATTGATATTGAGGTGATTGCACAGTCTTTGATAAAATTGAGGAAACATTAGGACGTTGTTGAGGTAACGGAGCATTAAGAGTCGAATTCACTTGAGATGAAGTATTAGACTGTGATGCCAATAGGTAACTTAAATGATTGATTAACGCATTTTTTTGCTCTTGCGATAAGTTTGGCGCTGTTTCAGGTTGTGACAATTGTTTTTGTATGGCGAGTATCTGTGAAGGATTGTAGGTTTGAAGTAATGTCTGCATAACGTTGGTTAATTGAGGCGAGAATTTAACAGAATTATTTGAGGGTGAAGGAGCTGTATTAATTTTAGGTTGTTGAGAAGATAAACGAGGTATAGGCATTCGCTGTTGAACTTGAGGATTAGTTGATACTTGTGTTAATTGGGATACCTGCGATACCTGCGGTTGTGGTTGTGGACGGGGTTGTATCGCAGGTTGCTTGTAAATACGAGAAGATGAAGTTTGTAAACTTGCAGTTGTAATGGGAGAGGGAGTTAAAGGTCGAATTACGGGATATGAAGTCTGACCAAATGTTGGTTGTACTTGTGCTTGATGTACAGTTGTAAATGCTAGTTGTTGAGACTGTTGAAAAAGTTGTTGATTCTGCTGCAGAGTTTGTGGTAGAGCTTGTTGAGAAAATAAATGTGACGCATCATGTATTTGATTTTGATCATCTAGGAGAACTTGCTGACTCACAAATAAAAGTTCATGAACCTGAGTATCTAAATACAAGAATGGACCTATCGATAAAGTGCAAGTTCCAAGAAATCCTGTGTATGGAATCGGGAGAGAATTATCAGGTAAGTCAGGATGAAAAAAGATTTGATTTTGAATGGAATATTTTGTAAAGGAAGAATTTAAGTTATTTTCGCGAGATAATCGTAAGGCAGGAAATAATATTCCACTATTATTTTAAAACATTCAAATTTTATTAAATATTGAATAATCTTTTGGCAGGAAAAAAAAAAAAGGAAAAAAAGAAAAGAAATTTCAAGTAGATCTATTATTATTACCTCTCTCTAACGCTGAGAAAACCATTTTGTTCATCTATTTCATCATCAGGTTTGTTTGTTGTCACCGGGAATTCGCCCATGTGTTTTTTTTTGACACTCATTTTAACTTAGATCGTTGCGCGAATTCAACCGATCTTTCGAATTTAAAAAGGGTAAGGTCGAAATCGTCGATCGTGAAAAAAAAAAAAAATGTCTCCAGGAAATGATAAAAAGTGTGAAAATTTTAATACCAGGCAGGTGACCAGTTTGACAAAAATATCTTTACCAAATATGTAAAAGTCGAAATTTCTCAAAAAAGCATATCAAATGAAGATCAATACCAAATACATAAGGAGTCAGTGTTTTTTTTTTTTTTTTTTTTTTTCTTTTTTTGAATTTTTCTTTTTCGTACATTTCTAATAAATAATAATCATAATAATAATAATTTGATAAATAAATACGATAATAATAACGTACAAATCTTGAAATAATGCGTTCCGACGAGGTCAATCATAATGAAATCAGACAAAATCCTAGATAAAGAAAACATAGTCAACGAGGCCTCAAAACATAAATCACTGTCACAAATGTGAGAGTCTCCTGTAAAGATTAGGAGCGAGAAAAGAATTCTTCTTTATGGTTCTTTAATTTAGAAGTTAAAACAAATGATTTTTGGTTAGATTGCAGCATCATCAAAGAGATGAAAGCGAATAAAGAGGTAAGTTTTGTAGTTTTTTTTTTTTTTTTTATTCTGTCGGTTGGATTGACTCAATTAACTCGTTCCTTTTTTTTTGGAAAAGAATTCGTAATCACGTGAATAAGTTGTTGAAATTAGGAATTTCACCCTACATTTAAATAAATTTGATTTTGGAAGAAAATGATCTAGCTTTTACATCATTCTTTAAATTAATGGATGCTAACTTTATTAGGTTAAATAAGTTTCGAAATTGGCGCAGTTGTTTCGAAAATGGCTTATAAAAATCTGCGGATAGATTCGTGAACTTTGATTGGCTGTTCCAATCGCAATAGCACGACGTGATGACGTATCAATGATTTTGGGCAGTGCACAAAGAGATTTGTGGAAACAATGATCTGATGGAACCATACGATCAACTAGAAGCAGTATACAAATCTGTGGTTTTTGTTTTTCTCTCAACTCTACAATGTCCTTGACACCCTTAAACAAAAATTAATTGACATTTTAACTTAAAAACTATTTCTTTCACTATTCGTTGGCTTTAAAGGCTTTTTTTTTTTTTTTTTTCCCTTAAAATTTCCTACAGTACTTTACTGGTAAAAGTCTGGTAAGTCTTCTATTCTTTGGTATTATTATGCAAAGTACTTTCAAGTTTTTACTCTAAAATTTCAAGATGTTAGCACCTACTACTTTTTTCAAGCTGAATAAAACGAAGAAATGGAACAATGTTCAGGCCGTGAGTTATATTTATTTATTTTATTTTTAGGTTTGCTTAAAAAAAGAAACAAAGTGTAACAATTTGATGTCGGATGCTGAAATTTCTATATACATATATTATTTATCTATAGTCGTTTCTTCTCGTCGTAACTCGGTCGATTCTACTGCTTCGACCGAGACCATGTCGTCGCATACAACAACGATATCTACTACCCCACCTAGTGAGTTAGAAACACAAATTGCACTTCATTCAGCTGCCGCTGCTCTTGCTTCGGCTCAAACCTCAAGAACACAATCAGCTGATGGTAGTGCAGGTTCAAGTCACAGAGAATCAAAAAGGCATGGTTCTAAACCACCCCGTCAACTTCAATGTTACAATTGCGGTATAAAAAATACACCACTCTGGCGTCGAACACCAGACAGAATGCATTCACTATGTAACGCATGTGGGTTATATTTTAAACAATATCACGTTCATAGACCATTACATATTATACACAAAACTAGAACAACATCGGCAAAATCTTACCCTTATATCTTACCCGCATCGAGGGATGATGATGATGATGATGATAGTGAGGATGACGATGTTGTCATGGATGATTATTCTGACCAGTCATCAACTACTGAGCAACTATTAGGACACGAATCAAATGGCGAAGAAATAGCACCAGATTTAGCATACACAGATTCACCGACACCTACTTATTCAGTATCATCAACGACGGTTTCTGAAAGTTCATGTATGCGCCCAACCGTAACGCAAACATCCACACCTGTTGCATCACCTACTCTACGACCCGCAAACATGTCACCTTCACCTTTACCAAATACATTATCCTTACCGCCTCCATCATTACATCCTACAGCCACACCACCATTACCTTCTACCACGACAACACCATCGACGATAACATCAACGATGGCTGATATACAAATCCAATGTGCGAATTGCGGTCAAACACAAACACCTTTATGGCGAAAGAATGATAAAGGGCAACCGTTGTGTAATGCTTGTGGATTGTATGCTAAATTGCATAATAGGGATCGTCCTATCGCTATGCGTAAGTCAAAAATTCAACGTCGTCGTCGCGATTGGAATAAGTATGGTCATATTGATGATGGTCATAATACTGAAGATTCTATCGATGGAACGAATTCGACGGCTGGAGCATCAAGTAAACCGTATCACGCTATTCTTCCTAATCAACGACCAATAATGCCCATGACTATGTCTCCGAGCCAAATGGCACCTGCCCTCCTAACTTTGGCTACGGCAGCTACTTGTCAGCGAGAGCAAATCCTTTTGGAAGAGCAACGTCGACAACAACAACAGCTGCTGCACTTAGATACCGTGGATGAACGTAGGGATCATAGAGATCATAGTCCTATTATTTCCTCTGTCATAGCACCACCTTTTGATCACGACGATTCAAAGTTCAAGTCTTATATAGATCAAATTCCTAGAAAACAGGTGGAGGAAATTTTGAAAGTATTTGAAAGACGATGTGAAATTTTGAAAAAGGTTTTGGGAGATCCATGATAGGAATCAATATCTTAATTTCTTATTCCTGTTCGCCTATATTCCAGAATTTATGTTGCAACAGGTGCAAACAAATATTCATAATTAATTTTTTATTTTATTAAATTTGGAACAAATTTAAACATTTATACTGATTATTTTTAGTTATTCGATTCAACCCCTTTCTTCCTCAAATTAATCATTATTTAGGTTATGGACTATCTTGAAAAACTTTTTATTGATAGAAATTTTTTATATATTATTTTACTTCCTTTTTTTTATACTTTTATTTTTGTCGTCAAATTATTTTTATTTTTTTTTTTCATTATTTTTATTTCACGATTAAATAAATATCCGTTTTTATATGTATTGTAACATGTATTTTCTCTTTCGAACTTCGCTACCACATTTTTTATTTATCTCTTTTCCACTATTTAGACTATTTGTTAATTTGTGGTGATGGCAATTTGTGATCATTTTAAATATTTAGCCTGGTGTTTTGTTGCCAAGGGATGAGATCAAATTGCTAATGACAAATAATTCAACTTTTCTTAATTTTTCGTTAAGAATTAAAAAATATCTAGTTAGAATTTTTTTTTTTTTTTTTTTTTTAATTTATTTCTTTTTCCATCAACATCAACATTAATTATTATTTTATTCAAAAGAGAGGAGAAAGTATATATATATGTATGTATGAGAAGATGATAATTGTGGATGAAATTTTTAATAGTGTAGGATTAGATAGTGAATTTTTTTGATTGATGTATTTCTTTTTTGAAATTGATATTGTATCGTTAAATATATCTATATATTAGTAAATATTTCAAAGAAATTAGTCTTTTTATTAAATTATTTATCACTATTTTTTTTTTTTAGACAATAATACAATTTATTATAGTTTTATTTTATGACAAAATTAATATAATCTTTGATAAATTCCGGTAAAGTTAAAAAAATCATTAAACTATGTACAACTGAAATTTTTTGGATTTGAAAAAAAAAAAAAATAAAATAAATAAATAAATAAATTTAAATATTTCATGTATCAAAATATTTCTAATCTCGAGTCGAAGTTAATCGAAAAGAATAATTAAACAAAGTAAAACTTGGAAAATTCGTGAACTTGAAAAAAATATTTCTCTCCATCAAATCAAATCTTTTTTGAGTCACTAAACAAAAAAAAAAAAAAAACACGGAAAATTTTCTCTCAAGTTCAAATCATTTTGGACGTAGGGAAATTTTTTATTCATTCGATCATATCAAAAAAAATAAATAAAAAATAAAAAATAAAAAATATCAAAAAAAAAAAATGATTCTTTCTGCGGATCTTCCTCATCAAAATCTCAAAAACGCACGTAATTTTTATTGATAATTGATAAACGGGAAAAAATTTCAAAATAATCAATGATATACGATATCTAAATATAAAATGATTGTCATACGACTCCAATCATTTCCATCAATTACGGCAATAATAAATGAATGCTTCAATTGCATTTAATTTGTTTCATAAAAATCATAAAAAAATATGCAGTGGTTCATGTTCATTTGATACAGATCGTTATCTGCATGATGATTGACTTTTAGTATCGTGTTAATGATAGTGAGTGATTCGGGTCATATATTGATCCTATTTTTAAATTGGTACCAGCTCCTGATATTTCTTTCTAGATAATTCCGACAATATTACTTTATTTAAAAAACCTTTCGAAATCGAAGAAATTTTTATTGATAATCGGCCGTCTGAGGCGTTGACCCTTTATTGAATCAAAGTTTATTTTTTTTTTTTTTTTTTTAGAAAAAGAAAGATCATTATAGGCAATTAAATTCCTAGATTTACTAATTAATAAAATTTTTATCATCTGTTTAAAGTTTAGATAAGGATAATCAACAACAGGCACAATAATTCTTTGAATGATATTTGGTAAAGTTCAATTCAGGTGATCATTTTATTTTCTTTTACAAAGAATAAATAACTTAGTATTATTCGATTTATAAGTTTAAATTAGTTACAGTAGTTGATTATTTCAATAAGCAAGTATCTTCATTTTTTAATTATTTGAATTAAATTTAAGGCTAACGCTATTCACACAATGCCTTTCATCTTCCAGTGTGTAATTATACCCCTCCCCCTAAAAATAAATCGGATATATAGTCGATATATGTCCTTTATTAAACAAATTAGATAAAAATAATAAAAAAACTCTCTTACCTTGAAAACGTGACCCAAGTGACCACCACATGCAGCACATGTGATTTCTATTCTCTTCCTTCCAAGCGAATTGTCTTCTTGACGTTTTACCGCACCTTGTTAAATTATTTTACCAATTATTTTTAAAGGATTTTTTAGGATAAATTATATTATTATGATTATTATTATTTTTTGTTTAAATGAATCACCTGGAATAGCCTCAAAGAATGCTGGCCAACCACATCCTGAATCGAATTTGGTTTTGGAATAATAAAGTGGTGTTTCACATGCAGCGCAATTATAAACTCCTAATGTATCCAAAAAAGAAGCCTTTATCAAAAAAAAGAAGTTCATTCATTCGAACAAATTTGGTTAAATTATCATTTATTACCTTCTCTATCGAATTTATTGTATTCACCAGTACCCGGTCTTTCAGTCCCTTTTTGTCGTATGATATGAAATTGTTCAGGTGATAAGATTGCGCGCCATTCATCATCTGAACGTTCCTTTGACATTTTAATCTTATTGGTATTATTATTATTATTTAAACTTCTTTTATTCAAAAATTGATGAGAAATTTGAATTTGTGATGAAAGGATAGATTTACAATGAACGTTTACGGGTTGAATTAAGATATTCCTTTGAAAAAAATTTCTCTGGAATGATTTATTAAATAACATTTGACAAATGAGAGGAAAAAAAAAAGAAAAAAAAAAAAAAAAACTTTATTCGTTTATATACGTGGAAGATCTGATTTAGGGTAAGAATAACTTCCATCTATGGTTCGTCATTATAGGTAAAAAAAAAAATCCGCTTCATTTCCGATTTTAGGAATTCATTCTAATAATCATCAAGTAATTTTTGTTATTCATACATTTATCATTATAATTTACTGAATAGGGAATTGTTCGTCGTATGGTTTTTCTCAACTGTCAATACCACATAATGGTAATATTGAATTCAGAAAAGACAAGGAATATACAACGTCCTTAAAAACTTCACAACCCCAAGTCGATCTTCCCCCGTAAAGGAAAAGCTCAAGACCTAGAACCGATCAAAGTTCAAAAGCTTTATTAAATGGTTCGTTGACTGGAAATATACACCATCACTATTATATCATGTGCTTCCTTATGTCAATTGATAAATCACCTAAACCCTAACAACTAACGTAATAAAACGTTAGGAAGGGAAAAGTAATATACCTTCAAACCAATGTAAAAAAAAATAAAAATAATATTGTAATTGATTATAAATTCATACACAAATTATGGGATTCAAGAATCGATTGCACAATCTCGACCCCGAAATTACATAATTTTTGTCACGCCGGTCGAATTTACGACTTTTCACGTGTTATTGTTGATAAAAAATCGAAAAAAGAATTTATCAAAAACATTCCCATAATACTACTTTTATAGAACAAAATAATCTTATTATATAAAACAAAAAATTAAAAAATTAATAAAAATTTAGCGAGAATGATTATTTAAATTTCCTTAAAAAATTTTACTTCAAAACAAATTATTAATTAATTTATATATAAAACTGTTGGAATAAAAGAAAAAGTTTGATTCATTAATTTAATCAATAAATTAAGAAAAAAAAATTTGGATAATTAAAAAGAATGTAAAGGGAAATAATAAAAAGATTAGAGAGAATAATAAAGGACAAAGGTAAGGAAGAACGAACAAGTTCAAAAAGAATATTATTTACAAAAATGAAATTGATAGTCTGAAAAGAATGAGAATCAGAAAGGAAAAATAAATAACCGAATAAGAACAAAAGCAAAGGAATAATAAATCTATGCTTTGGACTGCTGAGAACGAAACGTGATTAATTATAAAATTTTATAACTCAAAATTTCAGATTTTTTAAAAATACATTTTGTCGTTTCGCTACAATACATCTCATCTATCCTACAATTATTAAATAAATTAAGGGAGTTCTTTTTTAATATACAATAAATCCTTCAAAATTTCTTCATAAGGCACAAAATGTACATCTTTCTTTAATGCACACCAAGCTTATACACAATCTCTCCGAGTACATCGTTCATGTATAGACTAGTTAGAGTCTTATGATGCTACTCTGTTGAAGAATTTGAGATGTTGGCACTATTACAAACATTTGGATCTCTCACTCCATTAGCATGAAGTAAATCCAACATCATTTCCGCTTGTTTTCGTTTTCCGTATAATTTCCCTTCTCTTCTTGCGGTAGCCAAATAATGTGCTGCTTTAAGATGATGTCTTTCCTCGGCAGCCCGAATCCACCCTACAGAATTGTCTATCCTTATGTATTGAATTGCTGCTCCAAATATCGTTGCTGTAACTACGAATGCTGCAAAGTAAGGGTTAGACATAAATCTCTCTGTTGTAGAAAATTCACCCTTGTACGTATCATTATCTGCTTCCCATCCTTGATAATAAGCATAATTTGATCCAAACTTTGATCCTTTTGAAAATCGACTTGCGGGGTTTTTAGCCACCGGCGAATCCCATCCAACTCCATATCTAAGGTACATCTCTTTTTTTTGTCGATTATTCAAAATCTCGTATGCTTTCACCACTTTTCGAAATCGTTCCAATGCAGCTGGTGAATTTTCCCCACATTTATCTGGATGATGTGTTTTAACTAATTCATAATATCTACTTTTTATTTCTCCTTCGGACGCTGTTCTTGGTAATGCAAAAATATCAAAAGGTGTGGGTGATAGTATTGTTGTCCAATCCCTTTGTGCGTCATTAGTTGTAGCGTAATAGCGTTCGTGTTTGTCGTTGAACGTTTTCCTTAAAACGGAATGTACTTCAATTCCTTTAGAAGGACGTTTTGTCGAAAATTGTTTTGGCTTTGGTACTAAAACTCTGAAAGACATCTTTTAAAACTTGCATTTGCTGGACCGTCTTGTCGGTTTAATAACCTATCCGGTTCATAGCGCATTAGTAAAAAAAGTGCCAATTAAAAATCACAAAGCGCTCGTTAAAGTTAAAATTTAAACTGGTTAACATTTACGTCACATTATTAAGATTAGTAATGTTGAAGTATATTAATCATCTGTTACACAAACACCACACAAAAAACATCTATAAAAAAAACTCGAATATGAAAAAAAACCCGATCAAATACAAATTTCCTGCCCTGCAAAATTTTTAGTAAAAATAAAATGCGTCCAAAATCCAAGAAAGATACGGGGCTCGGAAAAGCCATTATCAAAGATCGTTTTAAAGGAAATACAAGGCCAAGAGACGGAGATACTTTCTTGGTATTTACTTGTTCTGTTTCTCATTTAAACTTCCTCCAATGCATATAATTCGAGTATTCATAAAAAAAAATTTAAACAAATAGCATACAACGGATTTGGATGATGGAGCGAGTTGGACAAAATTACAATCGATAACTCAGCAGCGAGATTTGGACGAATTCTTGAGTACAGCTCAATTGGCGGGAACTCAGTTTACTGCTGGTAAATTTTTTTTTTCCTCATTGATTCTTTCTGTTCTTTTCTCAACATTTAATTGAAAGACAATGTGAAATAACTTCAAAATGTTATAAAACTGAAGGATGATGTCAATTCTTCGAATTGACATAATTTATTATTATATAATTATAATTATAATTATTATAGAAAGGTTGAATATCAAAGTGATCACAAACACCTATCATAATCCTTTTCTTCTAAGTTTCGAAAAAGAAAAGGAAGTTTTAGCAAGACAAGAGGCTAATAAAGAAAAATTAGTAATACCAAGAAGGTATTGAAATCAAAGAATTCATATTTGCTCTTAATTGAAAATCATTGCTTATTTACATCCTTTGATTCTATTAGGCCAAACTGGGATCAAACCACTACTCCTAGTCAATTAGAACTGAACGAAAGAGATGCGTTTTTACGGTGGCGGCGTAACTTAGCATTGTACGTAATCATCATTAATCTTACATCCGTGGAAACATAAATTTTTAATCTTGTAAAATAAATATTAAATAGCCTTCAAGAGCAAGATGAATTTCTTTTAACACCATTCGAGCGTAACCTAGAAGTATGGCGTCAACTCTGGCGCGTGATTGAGAGATCGGATTTGGTGGTACAGATTGTTGATGCAAGGAATCCATTATTTTTTCGATCAACGGACTTGGAAAAATACGTTAAAGAAGTTGATAAAAATAAGAAAAACTTGTTATTAATTAATAAAGCAGATTTATTAACTGCCAATCAAAGGTGAATATTTTCCAAGGTCAAGTGGTTATCAGTTGAGTAACCTATAATTAGACTTATGTCGTCAACTCTGTAATTTACTTCAAAAGGCAACTTTGGTCAGATTACCTTGATTCGCAAGGTATTCGATATATTTTCTTTTCCGCTGTTCTTGCACAAGAGAACCTCGAAAAGGAACTGTTGGAAGTATCTGCTGATAATGTACCTGAATTTAAGGATGGCAGCGATAATGAGAAGGTAATGACCGGTAAAATGAATATCCCTTTCCTCACAAATACGAATTACTGATTTTTTTCATATTGGAAAAGGAGAATGTGGAAACTTCTCCTAACGACAATATTTTTAAAGTCATGCCTGAATTCCGAGATAATGAAGATGCGAAAGACGACGCGATTGAACATTCAAAAGCTGCTTCTTTGGAAGATCGATATTCTAAACACATCGATAATGAAAAAGTTTGTATTAGAACGACTAAGGACTTGGTTTCTTTACTAGTTGCTGAGGCGGCAGACGTCGAAGGTAACCCTTTAAATATAACAACATTCAAATATTATCATGAAAGTTTAAATTATAGCGATCTAATATACGATTCTTCTCTAATAGATCAAACTGAACCAGATAAAAAACTAACAATTGGTTTAGTTGGATATCCAAATGTTGGTAAATCTTCAACGATAAACGCTTTACTTGGAGAGAAACGAGTATCGGTATCATCAACTCCAGGAAAAACCAAACACTTTCAAACCATTCATCTTACACCCTCACTAGTTTTATGTGATTGTCCCGGATTAGTATTTCCAAATTTTGCTACGACAAATGCTGATATGGTTTGTAATGGAGTATTACCAATCGATCAATTAAGAGAACACACCGGTCCTGCGGCATTAGTTGCGCAACGAATACCAAAATCTGTTCTTGAAGCCATTTATGGTATCAAAATTCGTATTAAAGCAACGGAAGAAGGTGGAAATAATATACCAACAGCGGAAGAACTGCTGGTTGCTTTTGCAAGTAAGGGTTTATCGTTTAAAGTACGGTAGATGATTAAATGTAGTTTTAGTAAACATTTTAACTATAATGGTATTTTAGCCGCGAGAGGATTTACGAAATCGGGACACGGAAATCCTGATGAATCACGAGCAGCACGTTACATACTCAAAGACTATGTTAACGTACATATCGGAATTTTTTTTTTGTTTTATATTTACGAATTCGACATGCTTTTTTCTCACGTTTAATGTTTTTTTACATGTAGGGCAAACTTCCATTTTGTCACCCGCCACCAACTGGAATATCATCAGAGAAATTCAACTCAGAGTTACATAACGTAGAATTATATATAAAAAATAAAAAGAAAATCACATCCATCATAACACAGGATGGAGATGATATATCATCATCGATTGCGAATCAAATAAATATTGGTACACAATCAAAAGCACTTGATCAATCATTTTTTGGTGATCCAGCACCATCACCAAAAGTCAAAGGGAAATTTGCTGGTGAATTTAGTAGAGTTAAATTATATCCTATTCATAGCACACTTAATGATGAAGGAAAACCAATTGGTAGAGGTGGGGCAACTTCTCTAGCTGGTGTGATTGCACAATCTGGTAAAAAACATCACAAAAAAGGAAGGAAGAACGTAAAGAATCATGGTGCAAATGGTTACGATATTTAATCAGATCAATTTTATAGTAAATAGTATTTAATGGTTGGGTGGTCTGATAAAATATTTATTCAAGTGAAAAACGAACTTCGATTAAAATAAATGGAACGAATCAAATTTTCTTTATTCACATTTTGATTCCTCATATGATGTGAAACTACCAATGGCATTTCCAAAGCATAATTAAATGGTTTCCTGGCACTTGTCCACCAAATATTTTCTGATTGAATGATTATATGGGTCTTTTTCAATTATTTTTTTTTTTTTTCCGCTGGTTGTTTTCTTGCGACTTGTTTTATTCTTTATACCGATATCTTTATTAGACCGTTTCATTTTATTTGATGTTGAATGATTAGTAGTATCGTTCGTATCTTCAAGTCCAGGCCAAGTACAATTATCAATTTGATCAAAGGAAATCAATCCTTTGTCATAAAGGATTTGTCTAGCAGGTTTCCAATGCCATCTTACGATCGAAGGATAAAAACCGAGATGATGTGGATAAACATTTCTTTTTAACCATCGCTTGGTTTTTTCATTAGGATAACCAGATCCGTAATCGTACAAGTCGGGATCATTTAAATCGGTTTCAATAAAGCTCCAGTCTCTTAATATATGATCTCGCGTGATTTTAGCGCAAATACTTGCTGCGCTTACAATAGGAAATTTATCGTCAGCGGCCTTTTCAACGACTATTGTTTGTTGAGGAAATTGTGCTTGAAGTAAATTTTGGTATTTTTCTGGTGATCCAACTGTATCAACATAAATTTTTTCAACATTTACTTTGGTATTGATGATTTCACGTATTAGTTTTATAGTTGATGAGTGAGATTGTTTGTTGAGGTTTATATTATCTCGTACAGTCAATGCTGAAATGTCTTGAGGTGATAAACAATGCACTCCCCATCCAATATCATCTTGATTTGTTATCATTCGTTGAAGTAATGATTCTCTCGTTTTTTCGTTTAATTTTTTACTATCTTTATATTCCAAGTCTATCAACTTTTCGTATTTGGAGATGGCACAGTACGTAACTCCAAAACACATAGGACCGAGGACTGGTCCTCGGCCAGCCTCGTCGACACCAAGAACGCATGGTTCTTGTGTCATCAATAGCGTTTTTGGTGTTGGTGAGTAATACGTATAGGATTCAGTCATAGGTCCAGTACGTACTGAAGGAAATTTGTACACTTTCATTCTTGTCTAAAACATTACCTGAATTAAAAAAAAATAAAAATAAAAATAAAAAACATTTTAAATTATTATTTTTTGGACGTGTAGATTCGCGATGTACGCTCCCGGTAGATGAATTCCGACATTCAGAACTCACGGGACAGCCGATAATCTCCGATAACAATTATAAGGATTCGGATAAGCCATCATGTACTTTTATGGGTTAAAAAAATGTGCATCTATACTGATCCCGAACGTCCGATTGGACAGAATTTTATCTTGTTATTGTCGTACCGAGAATTCGCGTAATAAAATCGTCACGTAACGAGCAAAAACTTGATTATTTAAGCTTGTCTCAAATACTCAGCCATCACCTTCTTTTTACGTTCACTTCTTGTGTCGAGGAAACCGACAAACTGCATTTACATCACTACTCAAATTTACCCTGTAACCTTACGCTAAACTTACACTAATGAAAAAGTATCGCCATAATTGGTGGAAAACCGTTAACATTGCACCAGAAAATCTAACTTTCCATCCGGCAAAAAGCAAAGAAGCGGACGTATACTGGGTGTCACTTTTAAAACCTCAAGCGTATAAAGGTGGATTTGACGCATCACGAGCAGAAGTGTATGTCAAGAATAAAGTAGAAAATTATGGCTTCGATGTTCAAGAAAAGCTCAAGAAATCCTTGATAACTGGAAGGTAATATATTAATGTTATATTTGTGTAATAGATTATTCTGAACCCTTTGTTCGACGTTTGGTGCAAGCTGGACTCTTTGTCTACAGTGATGAACTTTTAGTTCGTTGTTCTATGTTGTTATTTTGAAACGTTCATGTGATTATTATTAATCTCGGACCTTTTTTTACAATCTTCATCAAAGAATTTATACAAGTTTAAATTCGCACAAGAAAGAAATCAAGAAGAAATTCTTGTGAATTTTATGCGGATAACAATGGAGTTGATTGAAAGAAATCAAGTATACGATAAGTAGAGATGCGGCCTATATCTGCGGATAACAAGAAAGAAATCAAGAATTCGAATTTTTATCCGCCAAGTAGAGACGCGGCGGACAACAAGAAAGAAATCAAGAAGATTCGAATTTTTATCCGTCAAGTAAAGACGCGGCGGATAACAAGAAAGAAATCAAGAAGATTCGAATTTTTATCCGCCAAGTAGAGATGCGGCGGATATCAAGAAAGAAATCAAGAAGAATTCGAATTTTTATCCGCCAAGTAGAGATGTGGCCGATATTCGCGGATAACAATGGAGTTGGAGAAAGAAATCAACAAGAAATTCGAATTTTTATCCTCCAAGTGATGCGATTCCAACATCCGCGAATAACTATGGAGTTGGAGAAAGAAATCAAGAAGAAATTCGAATTTTTATCTGCTAAGTAGAAATGCAATCCGGATACTCGCGGATAAATCCGTAGTGGATAATCTATCCTTTATCTGTGACAGCACACATTTCTTTTGCATGTTTGATTATAGAATATATTACATCTTACATATAATAATTACTATATCTAATTTGACATTCACATTTAGTCATTATAGTCAACAATTTTTTTATAGAAAAATAAAAAAGTAAAAAAGGCGGCAATAAATTAATTCCTCTTGGGGTTGTATTTAAACATGATTTGGAATCATCGATGAAACTTCAAGTTCTTAGAATCTACCAGTTATCCAAATCGCTGCCTTGCAACCATGATGTATTATCGCTGTCAAAGGACCATAAAATGGTGCCTTACATGAAAAATATTATTAAATAACATTGAGCTTTACTAGAGAGAAATAAATTATAAATACTTTACCTTCTTTGCATCCAAGTCTACCGCAGTATCCAAATGTTGTAATTCATCATCACGAAATTGTTTAATGATCTTTATATATCAAGCATTAATAAAGTTTATGAATCAACAATACTATATATTTTATCAGATTATACCTTTCTCAATTCATCAATATCTTCATGTTCGATGCTTAATAGATCCCGCAATTGACTAAAAAAAAAAATTTTTTTAATGATCAAGTTAACGAAAAAATTTTAACGATAATCAAAAA